CGACCGACCGACCGACCGACCGACCGACCGACCATCAGAAAAGCTACCCTGGAATGAGAATTGGCCCAATCAGAGAAACATTCTGGAAAAATAAAGGAAAAAAATAAGATAACCCCCCCCCCGCAATCTTTACTGTAATAGATTGTGCAACTTCAGACTTATCCACAAATCATATTTAAGAAAATCTGTTTTAAGGATTGAAATGTAGTTCTGACATAAATAGCATCCTTTTTCCTGATGAATTCTAATTAACTTGAAATACATCTGGAAATTTTCAAAAATGATCATACTAACTCTGTATTAGTAGACTACACACACACTTCACCATTCCTGAATCTTATGTCACAAGTGCCAAAGTAAAATTACTCACAGTGTAGAGTTCATTTGTAACCTTCAGGAGTTCTTCATGCATTTGAAGACCAATTTCCTTACTCTGCAACACAAAATAAGAACAGAAAGCTGAATGTGTAGTAGGTTCCCAAGATCTGTTGTAAAGAAAAGAACTGAATAAACATGCACTGTGGGCTTTTTAACATTCTTGAAGCTGGAGGTAAACAAAGATCAGCTTTGATCCTATAAAGCCGTGGTCCTCAACCAGTCATGTAAATGTCCACAGGTTATAGTCTGGGTGGGATATAGGAGAAGTCATTAAACTTTAAGCCTTCAAATCTTTTCACCAATGATAAATATAACAGAATACCTAAAATACATAAATATTCTTGGAAAAGTGGGATTTTATTTTTATCATGTGGAATCCAGATTCTTTGTCAAAATTATTAGTGGTATTTGAGATACAAAAGAATTTTCTGCTAAAAAGCAACACAACTGTACTATATGGCACTACAGGTTAAGTCTGGTCACTGTAAAAATTATGTTAGAAGACTTGTTTATGTTCTTCATAGTGCCTTAGAACATTCTTGCCATAATGTGTTAAATATAACTACAATGAGTATGATGAGCAAAAATAAAACAGGAAGCAGAGGTGAAGGCAGAGGAGGAATATAGATGAGCAAAAGATACAGATCTGGCAAGAATAACATATATCAAAAATGATATATTTTAGAATATGCGTACAAACCACTTCTCATGCCCTAAGGTTACCTAACCTGGTAACACCAACCTCAGAAAACAACAAGAGTGCAACAGTTCAATCCTGAGCTACATATATTCTGTACTGTGGGGGTGGAGAGCAGCAACACAAGGCAAGTACACCATTTCAGCAATAGATGACTTTGGGCAAGTTGAAACTTTTCTGAGTATATCAACTGACAAGCAAAAGACAGGATTTACAGCTCCTTCCTCCCCAGTCTTAAAGGAGCGAGAGTTCACACACTGTCATAGTACAACCCAAACCACATGATAAAATCACATGAATAAACTTTTAAATTTGTTAAGTGTGCGTACAACTGCATACTACTCTGTGTGTGTGTGTAGCAAGATTTCTGCATTGACCAACCAAGATCCTAGCTTCATTCAACAAACCAAAAATATTCTACCTCCACCAAAATATATATTTACAAAATACTTATTGCAATTGTTCAGATTTAAACTTGTTTCATTTATTCATACAACCTGCATTTGCTTACACTGATTCTCTTCTAAAATTAATTTTCTAAATGCTTCATCCGTATTTGACAAATACCATCCTCACATGAGAGTTTAATACAAACAGATCTGACTTCTAGACTTGTACCAAGTAAATGGAGTGAGTTGCCTAGATCACTGACTTGGGTGGCACATAAGTATGGTTGGTTTGCTAAAATTGAAGCACTTACACATTTTTCCATGCCTTCCTTTTCTTTTTTCTTTTTGACAGATTAAGGAACACAACAAGCAAAAACATTACAGGTAGTCCTCACTTAACAACCACAATAGGGACCAGAAAATTGGTTGTTAAGCAGGGTTGTCATTAAGTGAGTCACCACATGACTGGACCCAACTTTACAACCATTTTTACAATCACCACGGTCCTTATGTGAATCCAGCTTCCCCAATGGATGCTTTTTGCTGGAATTCGCTTAACAACCATGTGATTCATTTAACCATTGTAAAAAAGGTTGCAAATCATGATCATGTGACTGCGCGGGGGGCAACAGTTTGTGGCAGTCATAAGTGCAAGTACAGGTCGTAAAGCACTTTTTACAAGGCCATCGTTAAACGAATGGTCATTAAGCAAGGACTACCTGTATTTCATATTTCATTCCACCCAGAAAAATGTGCTCTGCTTGTATAAATCTTTTACATCTGTATTTTGAAATAGAGTTTAGGATGGTTCTTAACTGGGACTAGCAAAGATAACATAATCCCCAGTCATGCTAATGGAGGATGAAAGGAATTCATACATGTAGAGGATGAAGCCTGCAATCCATTATATATTCCTACCAAAAAAATAGAAGAACACTTGCACATGCTCTTAAATTGCAAGCAGATGGGAAAAGGCTTCCTCCTGTTGTCTCTGTTCAAGCACTTAGTTTGCAACTGCTGTTCAGTAGCCAAGGAAATAAATAGATACTGAAAATCTCAATATTTATTGTGGACAGTGTTCCAACTTGCCACCACCAACTAAACTGTTTAACAGCTACAAGTGCTCTTTTCCCCTTTTTGTGAGTGTCCTTAACCCATGCAATGAGCACATTCTTCACATGTGCACCTACTTCTGTGAATTTTAGTGGAGGAGGGTGGGAAGCCAACATAAAAGCAAAAAACCTGTCCCTTCTCCTTCCCTCCCCCACATAAGTCCTGTGTTATTGATGGCTTTTACATGAAGAAGCCACAGGAAGAGTAGAAGAAATCTGCTTTCCACCCTGGAATTTTCAATGCACAGCCCAGGACTTCAGGAAGGGAAGGGTCATGAAGTAAGAAAGGCTCAACCAATTCCTCCGTGCTTTCCACCAAATGGGTCAACTTGGAAATTACAGCATGCTGACTCAAATGAAACAGAGTTGTTGTTGTTGTTTTTAAGTAATTTGATGCCTAGTCCTTTTTCAATGTATGTATCACACAGGAAACTGCAAATCTTTTCTTGCCGGAAAACAAAACAGAGCAAAATTGCACTGATAATGCTTCATATGTGGAAGCACCATCTTTCCTGAAGATTACCTCTAGAACTATTTAGGATAATATTTTTTCTGGGTAATTCATTCCAGATTTTCTAATAATTGAATGGCAAATAGCATGGAAGTACTATAATCTGATAACCCAGAGTTTCATCATACATGGGGAGGGTGCATGCATGCCAAGGGACCCCGCTTCTGTCAAAAAGTCCTGTATCTAAACTCCACTGCATAAATATGACTAGCTATCAAGTAAGATAAGTGACCTGCCAGATGTTATCAAACCATTACTCCATACAATGCCAGCCTTATAGCCAACGGAATAAGGATGCTGTAGATGGCAGCTATCAACATCTACAGCATCCTCAACATATCCATCCCTGTTATAGAAGATATGCTGTGGAGAAAAAGGGTAGCTCAATTTACAAGAAAAGAACTGATGCTTAGTCAAAATGATTTGATCCAGCCAATCATAATTACTGGCAAAAAAAAATTTTTCATTCAACATTCATCACATGCCAGCAAGCAAGCTGGAGGAACTTAAAATTGGGAGAAGCTGATATGAAATGCACACATTATATTTCTACATAAATACGCTATGTTTGTTTAGGCTCCACCAGATCTGGAAATATTCTGTTGTTGACTCTCAATGGGGTTGCATTTCTCCATTTGAGACTTATGCACAATCTGGGGGTCCTTTTAGACTCTCAACTCCTGCTCATAAAGCAGGTGAAAGCTGTGGGCAAGAGGGCCTTTGCACAGGTGCATCTAGTGTGCCAGTGGCGCAGTTCCTGGACTGGGAGACCCTTCAGAAATCCACTCATGCCCTTGTCACCTCACAATTGGATTACTTTAATACACTCTACATGAGGCTGCTTTGAAGACCACCCTGAAGCTACAGCTGGTCCAGGACACAGCAGTACAGGCAGTGAGGGGTGCACTACATTAGACACATATGATCCTGCTGCTTCATGACCTTCACTGGTTGCCAATTGATTTCAGGGTGCAATTCCTCTTTAAAGCCCTTCATGGCACAGGGCCTGGCTACCTGAGGGACTCCTTATCTACAGTTGTCTCTGCCCATCCAGTTCAGTCCAGCAGAGTGGATGTACTCCAGGTCCCATCCATTAAAGAATGTCATCTTTCAGGATTCAGAAAGCATGCCTTTTCTGTTGCAATTCCTGCCCTCTGGAATGATCTCCCCCCAGAGATTTGTGTGGCTCCCACCCTTATGTCATTCAGGAAATTATCAAAGACCTACTTATTCTCCCAGGCCTTGGAGACACAGTAAATGTGGAGTCCCCCCCCCCACCTTTTTTTGCTTTGTTTTATTTTATTTGGAGCTTATTTGTTTTGGTTTGGTTTTGGTATTTTTGCTGCTCTACTAAGTTCAATTTTTATATGCTGGTTTTTTAAGTAAACCATCCAGAGTAATTTAGGAGTTGGACAGCCTATAAACTAAACAAACAAATACATAAATAAAATATGAAAAAGCATCAGTCGAAGGACATATTATTTCACCATGAGCATGATGGATCCTCTGCAAACAATTTTTGGGCCTTTTTGTTTTTCTGCAAAAAGAAAATGTTTGGAACAGAAAGACAGTAGCACAGAAATGTTTTCATTGCAAGATCCAAGATTTTTCCTAGTTTGTAACCTCATTGTTTAGATCTCAAGTGTACTCTGCCATAAACCTTTCCCAAGAAAATTTACTACTGCACTAGGGAGGGGTTGAGTTTTATGTGGCAAGAAACCACAACAACTAGAGGATGAGCGCCCTTTGTCACGATAACTTTACATGACCACTGCAACAAGAAAACCAGTGTTGCTTCTAAACAATATAAAGAAGTTGAGAGACAGGTTTATACCTCCCTGAGCCACCCCATCAACAGAAAAGTAAATGGCATGAGAGTATACCAGCTTGGTGTAACTGATGAAAAGCCCCGGGCTAGGAGCCTGAGAATAGATCATGTCTCTTAGGCAAAGGTTGTTAGAACAAATATAACAGCTTTTGACAGAAGGGACCTTCTGACCCATCAGCAACTCAATCCTGAGGGCCAAATAATAATAAAACTTCTTCGTGTTGTGCGACAGTTACACCCCTTCCTGGATCAGGAGGGCCTCCGCACAGTCATTCATGCCCTGGTCACCTCTGGGTTGGACTACTGTAATGCGCTCTACATGGGGCTACCCTTGAAGAGTGGCCGGAAGCTACAGCTGGTACAGAATGCGGCCGCGCGGGCTATTTTTGGAGCCCCAAAAAGGGCCCAAGGA